AGGACCACCTGCAAAAAACCATGAACACTCAGGACGACCTAGCTCCCAGACCAGTATACCCTCAGAGTTACAAGAAAATAAAATTTCTGTTCTCTGAAGTTTTCCACTTGTGCTGATGTCCCAGCAGTGCCAGGAAACTAAGACAGTCATCCTCTAATTCACAAACATCCCATCCCCACCACTCCATCACCCAGCAGCAACTCTCCTTACTGTACACTCTCAGTCCTTAAGTATTCAGTTCACTGGAGCCTCAGAGAGTCTGTGATTGAAGTACACTTTCCCCAGAATAGAAAGCATACTTCAGCCCTCTACTAGCTCTCTACTTTATTTCCATTAAAGACAAAACATTACAAATCTACTCTCTGCAGCCTCTGGGTTAGGTGCTGGAACAGAACGCAGAGAACCACTAACTATCTCGTGTGATCATTCACACCGCATCACTGTGTGGTAGGAACATAGTGAGGGCTGGAAGACAACACAGTAGAAGACACTCCCCCCCTGTTGAACACCTTGTCTAAAGGACAAATTCAATGGGCATTTGTATGTTACTGTGGACTTACTGGCCAAGGCTACATTCCTCTCAGCAAGAACAAACTTTAAACAACTTATTTTGGAGTTCACGTTCTTGACCCTAAAGACTAACTCAAGAAACAAATCAATGTGTTCCAACAACGTGTGCTCCACCTCCCTCTATTGCTCTCCAGTGCCACAGCCCTTGAAACCCTACCAAGCATTGTTTCGGTGTGTCTCAGTTCTCTAGAGCTGTTATAATAGAATTCCACAAGTAGAAGGCTTTAGAAATCTATTCTTACTGTGTTGTTACTGTTGTTGTTTTTGATGCTAGGTAATCCTGTGAACAGCAGATCTATCTAAACCTTGCCCTGTCTTTTGCCACCCTCATCATCTCTGATATGCTCAAGTCCTTTTTTACAGACGTGTCAACTTATCTTGCTGAGGTCTTCCTCTCTTTTACCGATCCAGCATCATGTCTTTTTCCAAGACTGGTCCCTCCTGACAACATGCTCAAAGTATATAAAACCAAGTTTCACCAACCTTGTCTCCAAGGATGCACTTCCTCCAAGACTCTTACAGTGTAGCAGGCTAAAAGTCCAAACTAAGGACGCTGGTGCTGGGGAAGGGCTTTCTCTGCCAGTTCTGCAGAAAGGTCCTTGTTTGTTTCAGCATTTGTAAGCCTCATACTCCTTGTTGTTGCTGTTGTTAGGTGCCTTTGAGTACGACTCATAATGACTCTACAATCTAAACTCTGTCCTATCCTGTGCCATCCTCATCATCCCTGATACACTTGAGCCCATTGTTGCAGTCACTGTGTCAACCAATCTCATCGAGCGTCTTCTTCTCACTCTCTGACACTCCAATTTTCCAAGCATGATGTCCTCTTTCCAAGGAACGGCCTCTCCTACCAACATACCCAAAGTATGTGAGACAAATCTTTGTCATCTTTGCTTCCAAGGAGAATTCTAGCTGCACTTTTCCTAAGACATATATGTTTGTTCTTCAGGCAGTGCATGAGATAGTCAACTCTTCTCCGATGCCACAGTGCAAAGGCATCAATTCTTCTTTCATCCTTATTCATTGTCCAGCTATCAGATGTACAGAAACTGATTGCAAAGACCATGGCCTGAATCAGGCACACCTTAGTCTTCAAATTGAGAACATTGTTCCTCAGAAATTTGGAGAGGTCGCTGTCAGCAGACTTTCCCAGTGAAATACGTCTTCTGATCTCCTGACGGCTGGTACCAAAGGTGTTGATTGTGGATCCCAGTAAGATGAAATCATTGATAATTTCAATCTTTTTCTCCATCTATCATCATGTTGCTTATTGGTCCAGTGGTGAGGATTTTTATCTTCTTGAGGTTTAGATGTAATACATATTGAAGGCTGTTTTCTTCGAACTTCTGCAGCAAGTATTTCAAGTCCTCTTCACTTTCAGTAAGCCAGGTTTTGTCATGTGCATAATGTAGGTTGTTGATGATTCTTTCTCCAATGCTGAGCTTTTGGAATGATTCGCTCAACATACAGATTGAATAGGTATGGAGAAAGGATACAATCCTGACACACATCTTTCCTGATTTTAAGGCATGCAGTAGTCCCTTGCTCCATTCTGACAACTGCTTCTTGACTTAGGTGTAGGTGCATAAGCACAATTAAGTGCTTCAGAATTTCCATTCTTCTCAATATTAGCCATAGTCTGTTATAATCCACATAGTCAAATTCCTTTGTGTAGTCAATAAAACATCAATGAACAGATGGATGTTGGCAGAAAGCAAAGAGTACCAGAGGAATGTCTTTCTGTGTTTCATTGATAATACAAAGGCATTTGACTGTGTGGATCACAACAAATTGTGGCTAACTTGAGGAAAATGGGAATCCCAGAACACTTGATTTTGCTTATGCAAAACCTATACTTGGACCAGGAAGCAGTCCTCAGAACAGAGCAGGGAAAGGCTAGATGCTTCAAAATTAGGAAAGAAGTGCATCAGGGATGCATCCTGTCTCCATACAAATCATTCAGGAAGCAGGGCTTTATGAGGAGGAATGTGGCATTAGGATTGGAGAAAGACTCATCAACAACTTACATTATGCAGATGACACAGCCTTACTTGCTGAAACTGAAGAGGACCTGCTACAGAAGGTCAAGGACTGTAGTCTGCAATTTGGAATGAAGTTCAACATCAAGAAGACAAAGATTCTCACCATTGGACCAATGATAAATGAAGAAGAGATTGAGGTTGTTAACAATAACAGCTTGCTTGGCTCCACAATCAACACTCTTGGCACCAGCAGTCAGGAAAGCAAAAGATTAATTTGCATTGAAAAAAATCTGCTGTTAGGGACCTCTCCGGAGTACTGAAAAGCAAAAATGTTAGTCTAGAGACTCAGGTGCACCTAATCCAGGCCATGGCCTTCGCAATCACTTGCTATGCATCAGAAAGCTTAACAGTGACCAAGGATAACAGAAGAATCGATGTCTTCGAATTGTGGTGCTGGAGAAGGGTCTTGAATACCACGGACTACCAAGGAAACAAATAGGTCTGGGAAAGAGTGAAACCACCAACTCAAGGTGGATCATGGACCTAGGACTAAAACCAAGGACTATAAAATTCATTACAGAAAAGCTAGGAACAACACTAG